AAATGGATTAAGCACTCCAATAAAAAGGCAGAGATTGTCAGACAAGATTTTAAAAACAAAACCAAAAAAACATCAAATATCTAGGAATAAATCTAAGAAAGTTGTGTAAGACAATTACACCGAAAATTTATAAACTACTGCTACTGGCATCTAGAGGGGTCTGGGTGGCACAGTGGTTAAGCGTTATCTACAAACCAAAAGGTCAGTGATCAAAACCACCAGCTGCTCCACAGGACAAAAGATATGGCAGTTTGTTTCCATAAAGAGTTGTGGCCTTATAAACCCTACAGGGCCAGTTCTGCTCTGTCTTACAGAGTGGCTATGAGTCAGAATCAAATTGACAGCAACACAGTTTTGTTTTGCATGGAGTAGGTAGAGGGGAGAGGTGCCACTACACATCCTAGAGTAACTAGGACAATTCGACACAACAGGAATTATCTCACCCAAAATACCAAAGGACCAAGACGAAGAAACCCCAATTGCTAAAAGGAAGCAGACTAATAGCACCAAATGCTGGTGAGAATGTAGAGCACCTGGAACTATTTCATATATTGCCCAATGCAAGTATAAAACGTTTCATCCACTTGGCTGCATGACAGATGTATAATATTAACTGTTGACGGCTTTTCATTGTCTTTAAGTAAATGACAAATTGTCAGCATGGTCAGCATGTTCTCAGCGTGATTTAGATCCAGTCTATTTCATGAGGTTCACCCCACAGTTAACTGAAGTACAAGGGTGTTTTGACATTAGGAAAACCAGTAAAATCTACTTTATTTTACTGAGCCATACCTTCATAACTGAGATAGAAGAAACCTTAAGGTCATTTTGTCCAACTTACTACCTAAGGCAAGAACAACAGTATATTCCCGCTGGTGAAATATTTACTGTCCCTCACAATGAACACTAATAGTGATGGGAAAATCCCATACATTTTGGTACAGAGAAACAATTAATACTATACAAGCAATGAATGGTTTTCTACTTTCTGTAAAATGAGTTAACTGGCTATCATTACAGAGGTGCTACTCGCTTAAGAAAGTAACATAAAAATATAGGTTGAAAAAAATGATCTAACCGTTTAGACAGGTATGATGTATTTATAAATACAACTCATTTGTAAGTACACTCAGCTGAAAACAGTGTACACAGAGTCTAAAAGTCAGCATTATCCAAAAGAAATATAATGTGAGCTATAAATGCAAACCACCACATATGCAATGTTAAAAATAAGACAAAGATGAAATTCTGATGACGTACTGTATAATCTATGCAAATATACGATGCCTATATCATGCATCATATATTTTGCCTATACATTATGCCTATAACTTGCAAAAAATAGTATGTCCAAAATATTACCATTATCAACACGGAATCAATAAACATTATTGCAATTACTTTATACTCTATACTAAGGCTCCAAAATCCAGTGTGTATCTTATACTTCTAATATATCTCCAGGATGTGCCTACTGGCAACTGGATGCTAACACTGCTTATTATGTGCCACTCTGCCACGCACTGTACACAGATTATTTCAATCAATCCCCTAATAATACTTTAAAGAATTTTGCATGGAAAAAAACTTAGGCACAGAGAGGGGAAAGAAACTTACCCACACTCACATAGCCAATTACCAGTATAACCAAGATTCAAACTCAATCAACCTTGAATCAGATCCCTTGTTCCTAACAAAGATGCTATTATTCCCTGCTCAAATCAAGCGGGTTAATTTGTTTGGTTGGTTGGTTGTTTTGCATTACTACGGAAAATTTCAATTTAAACCTAAGACATGCCATTTTTATAATATTTTAATTTGGGGAAAACTTAAATTACCGGTCACATTCACAAGCAGGTTACTGTCCTCCCTCCATGAATCAAAATCTAAGAGAAAACACTTACCATTAAAATGAGTTTTTGATACTTTTGTTTTAGATCTGCCACACTTGCAGATGGATCTGCCCCCAGAATGCTGTACCAGTCCTTTCTTGGTATCTGCTCAAATGCCATCATCCAATGAACAAGAAGTGGTCTTTTTCAGACTGACTGAATAAAAATATTGATAATTAAGTAAATTGCATTTAAATATAAACAAATCAAGTATTAGGAAGCTCTGGTAGCATAGTGGTTACCAGTTGGGCTGCTAATCTCAAGGTCAGCAGTTCGAAAATGCCAGACATTCTGCAGGACAAATGAGGCTTCCTGCTCCTGTAAAGATTTACAGCCTCAGAAACCCTATGTAGGGTCGCTATGAGTTGGAATCGACTCCATGGCACATAACCAACCAACCAAAGCCAAAGTATTGGAGTCCTGGTGTGGCACCGCCTTAGGATGAGCACTGAAATGCTAACCACAAGGTCAGTGGTTCAAACCTACCAGTGGCTCCTAGGAATCCCTATATAGGGTGGCTATGAGTAGGAACCGACTCCATGGCAACAAGTATTGTTCCTCAAAGTTCTGTAATATTTAGTTCACTAAATCATAACTCTATTGCAAACCTGATGAAGCACATTTTTTCATTTATAACGACCCGGTTATTTAATGTATAAGTATAGATCGGCCAGGTGGCATCATTGATGGCATCAAGTGTGGCAGCGGTAGTGAGGTTGGCCCAGGATCGGTCATTGTTTCGTTCTGCTGTGCATGGGGTCGCTATGAGTCGGTTCCGACTCGATGGCATCTGACAACAACAACAACAACAATACAGATAAGTAACTAAGATCTGGGTACTTAGATGATGTGCCCGAGAGGTGGATGATTCTCAAAGGAGATACTTTCTCGGAAACCCTATACAGGGTCGCTATGGGTCGGAACCGGCTCGACGTTACTTAACAACAACGAAGTAAACCCGCACATAGTAAATTCTCACTTAACACAATATTCGTTGCTATAGAGTCAGTTCCAATTCGTAGCAACCTTATAGAACAGAATACAAATAACTGCCCAATAGAGTTTCTGAGACTGTAAATGTTTGTGGAAACATAATGCATCATCTATCTCCCGCACAGCAGCTGCTGGGTTTGAACCATCAATCTTGCTGTTGGCAGCCGGGTACTTAACCACTGAGCCACCAGGGCTCCGTCCTAAACACGCTAGAGGAGCCTGAACTTAAAAATAGCAAAGCAAATTAAAGCACCAAAGAACTACAATGAATTTAAGAGTTTTTTTTTTTTTTTTTTTTTCTTCCCACAGATTTCTTTTGAAAGATAATACGGAAAATCGCTGGTCTAGAGGGGAAGGTAACAGCAGAAATCCTTCTTTTACTGGTGAGGCGCTCAAGCCTCTCAAAGAAAGAACCCCCAAACTATCCACTCGCAGCTGTGCCCAGCTCTCCAGGCTTCAGAAGACTACCAGGCGTTCCAATAAGAAGTCGACCTGCTTCCCGTATCTGAGAAGGTAACCAGCCAGCCAGGCGACTTGGGGACCCATTGTACTCCGTCAGCTCTGCCCTCCCAGCAAATGCCGGGTACCCACTCCAGCTTTATTCGATACCCGACTTACCAGCAAACTTCCTACACCCATCGAGCTCCTCTCTCGAGCTGACTTTGAGTCAAACTGGAGACCCAGCTTTTCCTTCCGCCGGAAGTCATTGCTCTGACGTGCCCGCGTTTCTGGTCGAATCTTAGGGGCGGAGACGCCGTTCTGAAGCGACGCTCCGCCCTTTACAACGCTGTAGCTATGGTAACCAGTAGTCGCAGTGACTGGTGGCGTCGATCAGAGTAAGTGTCAAAGCTGTGGAAAAATGCATTTCTCGCCTGCCTTTGCTTCTCTTCTCTCCCTCAGCAAGCACCCTTCTAGCCTTCCTTGGCTTTCCCCAAAGCTATCTGCTCGTGCCACTCTGAGTCTTACTCCCAATCCTTTTGTGGATGTTGTTTGCACGCGGAGAGAGGAGATATGGCAAGAGCGATGAGATCCAATCCTGTCTTGCCCCTACACTTCCCTTAGAATAGTTTTGTTAGAAAAGTATGAGGACTAAAACAATTTTTTTTTTCAGTTTTAATGTGTTTTGTTTTGTTGCAAAGGATGTTCAACTTAAATAATTTCTTTTAGACCTTAGCAACAGATTCAAAATAAAACAAACTTTTACAGTTTTGTTGTTAAAAGTGCTGTCGAGTCGGTTCCAACTGATAGTGACCCCTGCATAGGGTTTTCTAGGAGCAGCTGGTGAGTTTGAACTTCAGCTTCCTCACTTCAATTTGGTGGTGGTGGTGGTTATGTGCCATCGGTTCCGACTCATAGCGACCCTGCACAGGGTTTCCGAGACTGTAAATCTTTACGGGATCAGAAAAACCTCATATTTCTGGCGCGAAACAGCTGGTATCTTCGAACCTCTGACCCTGAGGTTAGTAGCCCAACTTGTTACCACTATGCTACCAGAGCTCCTTCACTTCAATTTACCTCACTTCAATTTCACTTCAGACCTGCAAGGCAAGTAAGATGGATGATACTGCCCTTTGTAGATTGTGAAGCAAAACCAAGGATCAACGTCAGAATTGTTCAAAGTAGCAACAGAACCAACTCTTAGCATGTCTCCATATTCCTAGGGTAGCTATGCTGACTTTCAAGCTTACAGGGGGTTGGGGGGATGGGGAATAAAAAAAAAGGAACTTCACTCTAGAGACAGTTGCTGATGAGTTTACCACTCTTGTCCAAAAGCGTGCTGTTAACTTTTTGTTGTTTTTTTCCAAAGTCTATGCTTGTACCCTTACATCACCTCTCTTGCTGTACCCTGAGGTGAAAGCTACTTCTTATTACTTTGTAGTCACATGACATAAATTTCACTTGAGGTAATATACTCAGTTAAGATGATTTTATTGGTATTACAGTGTAAATTTGCTTTCTTCTTTTTAAATTTTTTTCTACCAATTGTCAGATTGAAAAGTAATCAAGATAAACTTAAGCCACTAAATAAAATGTTTCACTATAGTCCTTTGTTTAATGATGACATGAACAGTGAATAACTGAATGAGCTATAAAGAGAAATGAACTTCTGGTACATGCTATAACATGGGTGCATATTGAAAATATTATGTGGTATGAAGGTAATAAGCCACAAAAGGACAAATACTGTTGGAGCCCACTTAGATGAAATATCTAAAATAGACAAATATATAGAGATAAAAGTTTATTGATAGTTACCAGAAAGAGGTGGAAAGGGAGAGTCATTATTTTGGGAGCATTGAGTATCTGCTAATGGTGACAGAAATTTTGGCAATGGGTAAAGGTGATGGCTGCACATATTTAATGTAACCAATGTCACTGAATTTTGCATGTTGAATTGTGTTATATTTTCACCACAGTGAAAAAGTTTGATACCCATAGATTTTTTTTTTAAAGGCATTCAACAAAGACTAACAGTGCGACAAGCAAATTTTAAAAGCAAAACATAGAAATGTAGATTAGCTATCTATACAACTTTGTCACATTTTAAATTACTCACAAAGAATACTGTGTCAATAGTTGGAGACCTTGTGTGATTCCTGATTTCAGTATACTACCTGTGTGGCCTAAAGACATTCCTAAAGCAACTGAACTGATGTTATGAATGAATACCTTCCTTCACAGTAATAGCAGAAGAGTTCCCCCAATCCCCTGAAACTTCTCTACCCTCAAACTCTCCCTTTCCATTGCTGGACCCTTCCGTATCTGTATACCCAAACCCAAACCAACTGCCATCTAGGAGATTCTAATTCATAGTAACGATCCTGAGTAGGGTATCCAAAACAGTGAATCTTTTCAGAAGGCAGCCTTATTTTTGTCTCTTGGAGTGACTAGTGGGTTTGAACTGCTAACCTTGCGGTTAACAATCAAGTTCTTTCTCCTACAGTGCCACCAGGGATCCTTGTCTGTATAAACAAAAAGCTCAAACAGACTGCCGTTGGGTTGATTCCAACTCATAGTAACTCTTTGTAGGGTTCCAAGGGTGTAAATCTTCACAGGAGTCTCCTGTTTCAACACCGAGTGGCTGCTGGATTCAAATTGCTAACCTTGTGGTAAGCAGCCTAATGCTTAGCCCCTTACTGTCTGTGTGGTGGTGGTGGTGGTGTAGAGATAGGGTTAAACACCAGTCTGTACAGCAAAAATACTTGATTCTAATTTGCTATTCCATTGTTGTTGTTGTTAGGTACCATCCAGTTGGTACCATTAGATTATGATTATTTCTGTTTTTCCTTCCTTTCTTATATAATTCCAAAAAGAAAAAAGAAAGAAAAGCACACTACCTCAATTTTCTCATTTCTCTTTCTTGCATGTATATGTGTATGTATTTGGACTCGGAAAGTAAGAAATACTTTTCTTCCCCTCGTCCCACCCCAGAAAATCCCAAATATTTTGTCACTTCATCTTTACTATACATCCTGAAGCACATCAACTTTCTCTTTCATCTCTATAATTCCATTATCCCATTGAAATAATCAGTAGTTTATTGATGTCATCCAGAATCTAGTTCCTATTTACATTGTCCCAGTTGTCTAAATAATTGTCTTTTTATGATTGGTTTGCTTGAATAAGTACGAAAACAAAATATACACTTCACATTTTGTTATTCTGTCTCTTCAATCTTTTGTAAACTTCAGTAGTAGTGCTTCACTACTTCCTTGCTGCTATTTTACTTTTTCTGCTGTTGATAAACTACACCAGTTGTCCTGTAGTATATGTTGTTGTTAGGTGCCATTGAGTTGTAAGGACTTCTGTTTTCTTTACGTTGTGGTACAATCCATACAGTCCTTCAGGCTGTGGTCTTTAATCTTCATCAGTAAGTATTTCAAGTTCTCTTTACTTCCTATAAGCAAGGTCAGGCCATCTGTATATCACAGGTTGTTGATGAGTCTTCTTCTAATCCTGATGCCACATTCTTCTACATATAATCTAGTTTCTCATATTTTTTTGCTCAGCTACAGATAAGCACTGGACCACAAGGTCATTTGAACTGCAAGGTCGGTGGTTCAAACTCACCAACTGCTCCTTGGAACTCCTATGCAGGATCACTATGCGTCAGAACAGACTCAATGGCA